AAATATCTAATAAGCTCCTTTTTAAAAAAAATTTCATATATCTTTTCTTTTTTCCGCCAGCCGACCGAAGAAAAGCTCACTAAAATTCCGACTGTTGCAAAATTTGCGGCATCATACATAAAAATTGTCTCCCACTGTATATCCGTGTACCAACTCTTTGTAGCTTCTAAAAACGTTCCGGCTTACCACTTAACGACTGATACTTAGGCATTTATTCAAATAGGCTTTTTGTTTTTATGGTATATTTGTAAAATTATGGGTTTCATCTTGGTGTTAAACTTCCGTATTATCAATTTAAAAAAAAAAATCAACTGTAATTTATTTTTAAAAATTATGATGTGTTAAAGGAATCGTATTAAATTCAAAGTGTGATAATCCAAAAAGGTTGGGATAGGCCTACAATGCTCTAAGGTATGCAATAGATGTTTTCAAGTGACAAACAACTAAGCATACTGTTTCGTATGAAACGGAGTATGCATCACTGGTTTGCTTACTTAATTATCACTTAGAAGCAGTGTTTTTCCGACTTTTCAAAAATCCGTTTTAGTTTATTCTTTTCTCTTACGGTTTAAACAAAGATGCACTGTTGACAATAAGAATGTTAAAACCAATTAATTATTACTTTTTCTAATTAATCTAGTCTACAAAATTAATCTTTTAAAAAACTGAAACAATAAATTCATTAGCAAGAAAGAAAAAAACAGAAATTAAATTATATAAAATGTTTAGAAATATTAGTAATTATTTTACTTGTTTATAAACTTTTTCAGGCACACATGTAAGTTTTTAAACGTGTAACCTGAATTTTTGGGAAACCAGAGTACAAAAAGTATATCGGACGTTCAGCATTAAAATATACAGTATAAAAATTTATTTTATATTCATCAGTACTTATAATTTATTTCATTTATTCTACATTCACTCTATGCTCTCTACATAGACATTATTAAGTACAAGAACTTATTAAAAATGCATCGTTTTCCCGAAAATGCTTTAATTGGAACTTTATAATTAAAATTTCCAAGCAAATTTTTCATTTTCAATATTAAAATTATTTTTTGTAATCAACTGACAAATCAGATGAATTTCTTAATGATAATTTGGATGAAAGAAGGTTCTGGGAGCTAATGAACAATCTCGTTGCGGGTATTTAAACCACGTCACTGGGACAAGTTAGTAGGCCCACAGCTTGGCATCTGTAATTCTGGCTTATTGTGTAGGTTGTTGATGAAAAAATTATTAGTAAACACGATGCTTTATTAATGAAGAGCACAGCGACCATGTTAATTATAATTTTATGTCGTCTGAGTTAATCAAAAAACATATCATCCGAAAAAAACATTTTTTAAACCCAAAAACAAGATGAAAGTATAATGCAGTACTTGAACCTTAATAATATTTTGTTCACAAAATCCTAGACTTCCACTGTTTACCAAAAGTTGCTTTTGACTAGTGGTGATTCCAACGTCCATTAAAAAATAAGGTCACAACGTCACAACAGATATAGGTGCATCCACAACAATCCGCTATTTAAAAAATGGTACATAGTACCTCTCATCATTTTTTTCAATTTTGCTATATTACAAGGATATAAGGAGCAGTCATTACTAACCAGGACCCCCCTGGTATGACCCATTCAAGAGCTACAAGTATCTATTTCCAGAATATACCAGAAGTATTCATTGGTCCTTCAAATNCAGCACTCTTATGCATGCATGCATGCATAGTCCAAGAATGACAAGTCAAATATCAAATGCTTACAATGCACTTACTATCACTGTTTTTGACAAACAGCTATGAAGAAAATATGAAAACTATTAAAAGGTTATGATAAAATTCAAATTTAAAATCCAAAACAGATTTGAAATAATTATTTCCTTTAATCATATGCAGAGGAGACATTCAGTGTAATAATGCATTCAATAAAAAATTTCTTTAAATATTAAAGAAATGTAGTTATGATTACTCATAAATCTTATTTTAAATAATGGGATTTCATTAAAGAAAAATGTTTTAAAGTTGTGATATTTTCTAACTTATTGTAAATATTTTAANAAAATGATTTGCTTTACAAATTGTTTCATTATATTATTTTATAAGAAATAAAAAATTAACAAGCTTAATAAAATAAATTATCAAATTATACTCGATATTCCTTAAACGACATTTTGATATTTAAATACTGTACAGTACTAGTTTGTTTTAGAACAGGCATATCGTCCGTGTTAGTTTTAAAACAATCTCGGTCGGGAAATACATTAAGAAAATCATTTAGAATATATTTTTTCATTTAGATATTTAATAATTACGTAAGAAATATAAGAAACATTGCGTAAAGATTTTACTTACATTCTTATAATAGATTCAAGTGTTATATGTCAACTCATTTCTGTGGAGAGAGTTTAGTTATGAGCACGGATCCATACAGGACAGGGGAGACGTATTTCCCCATATTTTTTACAGGCAAATTGTTCCCTCTCTTAGCGTATTTTTATTTTATACCATCTAAAAGGATTAGGAATAGAAACGAGTACTGTACACAATAAGTTCACTTTATATGTTACATTCAATCAAAACCCGACGATGAGAAAATTTTCTCACTCGTTTCATTGCCCGCCCCTCAATACATATACAGATATACACCGATGTTTACAGTTTGTTTCAGAGGTTTCATTCAGAAAACAATACTGTATGTGCTTTAGATATTGTCCTTTAATTGGCACAATGTAGTAACCTTTTTTGCACTCGTTCTATTTATCATTTTCTCGAAAAATAAATACTTGAAATGCTTTATATTTTGCTTCGTAAGTTCATTATGTTGAAATTATTATTTTTTCTATTGAAAGGTAGAAACTTTTGAAAGTTTGTGGTACTCTTGTGCAATCTACACAAGTAATATTTTACACTTCTAGTGTTCAATTTGTTGCACACTACAAATTTTCGATCCGGGTACCCGAGATAATTTGGGTAATGCGGTGCATTACCCAAAAGTTACCTCTGACATTTATACAGTGTTTCTTAACCCGTGTGTCGCGGAAATATTCAAAATTCTAAAAAATATCTAATAAGCTCCTTTTTAAAAAAAATTTCATATATCTTTTCTTTTTTCCGCCAGCCGACCGAAGAAAAGCTCACTAAAATTCCGACTGTTGCAAAATTTGCGGCATCATACATAAAAATTGTCTCCCACTGTATATCCGTGTACCAACTCTTTGTAGCTTCTAAAAACGTTCCGGCTTACCACTTAACGACTGATACTTAGGCATTTATTCAAATAGGCTTTTTGTTTTTATGGTATATTTGTAAAATTATGGGTTTCATCTTGGTGTTAAACTTCCGTATTATCAATTTAAAAAAAAAAATCAANTAACGTAACTAAAACTGAAACAATCATTAATCATAAATAAAATATTCTATAATTTTTAAAATAAAAGCTTACAAATACATTATAACCTCTGAATAGCGAACAGTTTCGAGACTGAGAAGTATGACTATTCAGAGGTATGTGCCAGCGACCATATTATATTTTAATTAATCTGGTCATTATAAAGTGAAAAATACAATGGATTATAAAAACATCAAATTTGCATTAGGAATGTGAAAATATCAAAAAGTATACATAGAATATATAGTTAAAAGCTTACAAATACATTATAACCTCTGAATAGCGAACAGTTTCGAGACTGAGAAGTATGACTATTCAGAGGTATGTGCCAGCGGCCATATTATATTTTAATTAACCTGGTCATTATAAAGTGAAAAATACAATGGATTATAAAAACATCAAATTTGCATTAGGAATGTGAAAATATCAAAAAGNCTGATACTTAGGCATTTATTCAAATAGGCTTTTTGTTTTTATGGTATATTTGTAAAATTATGGGTTTCATCTTGGTGTTAAACTTCCGTATTATCAATTAAAAAAAAAAAATCAACTGTAATTTATTTTTAAAAATTATGATGTGTTAAAGGAATCGTATTAAATTCAAAGTGTGATAATCCAAAAAGGTTGGGATAGGCCTACAATGCTCTAAGGTATGCAATAGATGTTTTCAAGTGACAAACAACTAAGCATACTGTTTCGTATGAAACGGAGTATGCATCACTGGTTTGCTTACTTAATTATCACTTAGAAGCAGTGTTTTTCCGACTTTTCAAAAATCCGTTTTAGTTTATTCTTTTCTCTTACGGTTTAAACAAAGATGCACTGTTGACAATAAGAATGTTAAAACCAATTAATTATTACTTTTTCTAATTAATCTAGTCTACAAAATTAATCTTTTAAAAAACTGAAACAATAAATTCATTAGCAAGAAAGAAAAAAACAGAAATTAAATTATATAAAATGTTTAGAAATATTAGTAATTATTTTACTTGTTTATAAACTTTTTCAGGCACACATGTAAGTTTTTAAACGTGTAACCTGAANATCCATTATATTTCAATCCATTCTGAGATTATTCAAATCTCAATTCAAACAAAAAACAATATTTTTGCATGTAATGCATCAGTGGTAAATGAATGTCATAACAGTAACAACAGTGACAGAAATGAAAACCATAATATGATATTATATATATAGAAAAGAAAATGACTTCCTGATACTACAGAATTTAGTAAATTCATTTCCAAAGTATTCAATATATTTATAAAAGTTATTATATATATGTTTCTATTTTTCATCAATTTAATAAATTCATAATTTTGATAAAACCTTTTTATATTGTACATATATAAAAGTTTAGAACTTCAGAACTATTATTATTATTATTATTATTATTTTAAACAATTTTTCAAATTATGTATGTTAGACATTTAAACATGCCAATAATGATAGGAACTAATGCCTACTATTATACTACACTTTTGCTTATTATTGTAGTATTCTTTTCATCTGGTTACCACGAGTTATACTACTTTCTCTAGTATAACAGAGAAATGTTATTTTTATAAAATATTCCTAAAATTGTAACCTTTCTCAAATTATAAATATTTATTTTCTTATCAATTAAAATTTACTTACCATTAAGTGTCTGATAAAATTTATTTGCTATTTTCCTTTCTTTTTTTGATAAGTGTGGAATGTAACTAGAAACAAATCTCCACATCATGTAATTATTTAATGCACTGAAATATATAAATTATATATTACTGAATTTGTTTAAGATATATTCAGGAATTTAATATTTTGTTAAACATAATCCCAAAATTTTTACTTTTAAGAAAATACAAGACATTTCACGTAATAAAGATTTTATATGTCATTGCATTTATCTCAAAGTTTAAACTTAAAAAATTACAATAAATAAATATAAATATAATTAGTAATATCAAACTATTTCATAAAACTGATTTACCAAATTAAGAGTTAAATTAATTCATAATTTTTCTATAATTTCTAAATTACTATTTAAACAAATCTAAATTTAAAAAAACAATAACATGAAGAAATCAGTGCAGTAAAAGTCCTCTAATCTAGCATATATAGGACTAATATAGTGTCAAATTGCCAAAAATAATAGATTACTAAACCTTTACTGTTTTTTTTTCCAATATTTGATTAGATATGCACTCTAAATGGTTTGAAAATTTTATTTTATATGCATGCAACTGTGATTTTTTTTCTATTCATTTTTACATATCCTTTTAATTGCTCTTGATAAAAATACACGGACACTTTAAGCAAACAAATTCAAAAAGATCTATCCATATTATGCAGAAATATATTGTATAAATGTCTTGGCTATACATAGCTTAATCTAATATTTGTACCAAATTCAAATTGTCAGATTTTTTGACTGCCATGGTCACTATTATATTGTAAGCACTCACATAATTATAAAAACCCAATGCCTGCCCAGAGCCTCAATGAACCTTAAGCATGTCAAATTACTGAACATTTCAAATTATCAGATGCTGAATTAGAGAACTTTTGTTTTATATAATTTCTAAATACATTCAAACTTATATTGAGTCAGTTTTGTCAAACAAGGTCTTAATGCTAAACAAGCATTTGATAAAAACAGCAAAGTGTTTATGTTTTTAAGGTTAATATATGTGAAAATGTTCAAAAAATAATTGATTTGTTTATCTTTTTATATTTAGNAAAATCACATTTTAATTGAATTCTAAATATAAAAACAGGATATTTTAATTAAACAAAACAAAAATTACAACAAAGCATAAATGTTGATTAATTATTAATTCATCAAAAATGACCTGAGTGGAAGTAATGAAAAAGAAAAATGAAAGTGTTATTATGAACAGAAGGGTTAAGTGATGAGAGTACAATTGTCGAGTTACTAAGGCAATTTGCTAACAACCTTAAGAGGTAAGAAATGTATACGATATTCTTGCATTTATAATGTCATTTATGATCTAAGCAACTAATAAAAATTGATAAAGTGATTTGTCTACTTTGAAGTAATCAACTAGGTGTAAATTTTTCAAACATTTTTGCTTTTTTCAATAAATGATTTATTAAAAATTACTTTAGCCATCACAAAACTGTTAAGATCATATATTACATTATAAAGTCAAGAAAAACGAATATCTTCCTACAATTTAAAGTGGTCAAGAAATTGCCTTCGTAACACGATCTTTTAACTTTCACTAAATAAATGCTGTTGTCTTAACCTTAAAACTATTTCTTTTTTTGTTACTATTATACTACAGTTCTTGTCGAATAAATGAATAACTTTGGAAAAGTTTATTGTATCATAAGCTTAATTCCAACGATAAAAAAGAAGTTTAATAATATTAATATGTATGATGATAAATGGTGATTGACAACTTATCCAGATTAATTTTCTCTAACAAATAAAGAGTATTGTTTGGCATTTTACAATCTGCCTTTCTCACCTATTTCTATTTTAAGCCAGTCTTTATTTGATGCCTACAGTCAAAATTTGTCATCTGAAAGAATATTTGAACTGATTCTTTGTTTTCATTTTAAAATATTTTGTACTTAATTAATTCTTTCAGAATATTGAAGGTAGGACATTGCGTTTTGGTAAGATTGGTTGTGAATGAGTGTCCATTATTTAGAGGTAAATATAATATTAATAGATGCCCCATTTGAATGGTATGGGAATTGTAAAAATGTCCATTAAGCAGAGGTGTCCACTATTTGGGAGTGTCTGTTAATGGAGGTTTCACTGTATAAATTTATTTATGAAAATTTATCAGAAAAACATTATGGCCTGTTTTTATTGTAATGTAATTATTTAATTAAAGGAGAATAATGTACAGTATAATATTTTAATTCTCTTCAGTTTACAGTGCATTCCTCAACTTCTAATTTTAAAAATAAAAACAATTTTTAAATTACATAAAACAGTCTNAAGTTGGGGCCTAGGGTGCGCGCCCGCCATTAAATCCGTCTCTTACCCTAAGCTGCGAATAAACGAGCGTCCCTTAAATACAAATGCCAGATAAATATTGTAGAATGTTATCGATACACCTAGTAGGAAACTTTCAGAATAAACTCGATTTCCAAACTATGATCTAGCTAAATCCAGTCTAGTAGTATAAGTAAGCCATTGATAACGGAGCATTCATTTTTTTTTATTATATTAAGAAATGAAATAATTGATATTGAATTATTCATTAATAAAATGTAATTTTAGGTTTTTTAAGACAACCTTGTTTTTTGATTTAAATTTTGTTCCTAAGCCTCTGATCCAACACCCAAATTACCCATTATGAGTACAGTACATCCAGAGTCCGATTCTCTGATGTTATAACAGGAAGAAAAAAAAATCTAAGTACGGGAATTTAATATCAGAAATTTTTAAAAATGTTTTCATGAGTTTCTTGGATCTATTTCTGTTATTTCTGATCTAATTAAAGAAATATTTGGATTAAGTGATGGAAATAGATGATCTCTGAAGTTAAATAATTTATGCTAAAACTATTTAAAAAGTGCCGATATACGAATAAAGGAGATACAGTNACCAATTAATTATTACTTTTTCTAATTAATCTAGTCTACAAAATTAATCTTTTAAAAAACTGAAACAATAAATTCATTAGCAAGAAAGAAAAAAACAGAAATTAAATTATATAAAATGTTTAGAAATATTAGTAATTATTTTACTTGTTTATAAACTTTTTCAGGCACACATGTAAGTTTTTAAACGTGTAACCTGAATTTTTGGGAAACCAGAGTACAAAAAGTATATCGGACGTTCAGCATTAAAATATACAGTATAAAAATTTATTTTATATTCATCAGTACTTATAATTTATTTCATTTATTCTACATTCACTCTATGCTCTCTACATAGACATTATTAAGTACAAGAACTTATTAAAAATGCATCGTTTTCCCGAAAATGCTTTAATTGGAACTTTATAATTAAAATTTCCAAGCAAATTTTTCATTTTCAATATTAAAATTATTTTTTGTAATCAACTGACAAATCAGATGAATTTCTTAATGATAATTTGGATGAAAGAAGGTTCTGGGAGCTAATGAACAATCTCGTTGCGGGTATTTAAACCACGTCACTGGGACAAGTTAGTAGGCCCACAGCTTGGCATCTGTAATTCTGGCTTATTGTGTAGGTTGTTGATGAAAAAATTATTAGTAAACACGATGCTTTATTAATGAAGAGCACAGCGACCATGTTAATTATAATTTTATGTCGTCTGAGTTAATCAAAAAACATATCATCCGAAAAAAACATTTTTTAAACCCAAAAACAAGATGAAAGTATAATGCAGTACTTGAACCTTAATAATATTTTGTTCACAAAATCCTAGACTTCCACTGTTTACCAAAAGTTGCTTTTGACTAGTGGTGATTCCAACGTCCATTAAAAAATAAGGTCACAACGTCACAACAGATATAGGTGCATCCACAACAATCCGCTATTTAAAAAATGGTACATAGTACCTCTCATCATTTTTTTCAATTTTGCTATATTACAAGGATATAAGGAGCAGTCATTACTAACCAGGACCCCCCTGGTATGACCCATTCAAGAGCTACAAGTATCTATTTCCAGAATATACCAGAAGTATTCATTGGTCCTTCAAATAAGCCCTTGTCCAAAAGTTATTTTGATTATTTTGTTTTGGATATGGTTAATTTGCACAAGTTATATTTTACATTATTTGTATCTAAATCTTCAAAACAATTTTATATTTTAAACTTCTCTAAAAGCTTGATAAATTCTTTAAATCTTAAACTTTAAAATAGGATTAAAAACATTTTCATTTATTTTTATTAATTCATAGACATTCACAAGTAATGCGGAAAATTACTTTAAGAATATTGACACTATATTTGAGAAAGGTAAAAAAGTAACTTTCAAAACACATAAAAATTTAAGTTTTTTAATATAAAACTTTCAAATTACATTAAATCCAAAAAAACTGTACAATTACTTTACATTAACACCATCAGAATATCAAATTACAAGTAATTTTTTCCACTATCTGCAATGACATTGATTAACTGGAATGTTGATTTACAAAATAAATATTTCAAAACAATTTGTAAACTATTGTTTATATTTAATTAAAAATCAACTTGTCTAATTGAATGTAAATTATTATTAAAAAATAATTTGTGATTAATGTTTTACTTATGATTAAATATGTACATTATGAATTTGAAAAAATGATGAAAAATTTATATCTATCACAAAGTACTTTTTCAAATTATTGAAATTTAGAAATTCATTTTCTTTCAATTTAATTAAAAATTAAGCAGTTTGTAGATATGCCCATTACGTAAGCCTTTCGGGGATCTTTGAACTTAAATTTTTAATGTACAGGGTGTCCAGATTGAAACTGACACATTTTTAAATAAATACTGCCAAAATTCAATGCATAAAGATGAATGTCCACAGAAGTCCAGTTGTCAAGATGCTAGGCAACTCAGAATTCACCATTCAACTTCTCATGATATGATGCATCACAGACTAAGTTATTATCCATGCAATAGCAATACATGTAAATATTTTAAAATTGTGTGTTAAAACAATTATCAGTAAAACTGTACAAATTTTTGTAGGAAAACTTGGTGTTTGTCTTCAAATTGCATATAACATCTCTTATTTTTATTATAGCTTTTACCTAATTTTACATTTTACTTATAACCTTTCAAAATGTGTCTGTCAATCTCATTCTTTATTTGTGAGAAGCAAATAAGCAAAATTTAATAAAATTCTTAACAAGAACAANCTCGCCACCCCCTAAGGCCGCCACTGAATAAAAACTTAATATATTTCAAAAACTTACATATTATCTGTAGTCGAGAGTAATTGTGAAAGTGAATGAAAGTAATCTTTGAAGAATACTCCTACTTCAGTACCCATGGAAATGTCAGCATGTGGATAATATGTTTGAAGCAGATCCCACCAATCTATCTATTTCAAATATGACAAATATTATTTTATCAGTTGTAAAAATAATTTTTAACCTTAGCAGATTTATAACTTACTACAGGAGAAATTGCTTTGAGTTCATTTATAGTGAAAATTTTATATTCATAATCTTCATTGAGTATTCTTTCTGGGTCAGGCATTATCTACATGATATTGCAATATTAGAATTAGTGTAATAAACAACAACAATAACTGGAGAAAGAAATTATAAACAAAAAAAAAAATCATCTTATATCACTCCAGAAAATAACTTTAATAAACTCAAGAATGCTTTTGCCCAGATTAATGGATCTTCAGTTACAGAACATCAAAAATTAAAGTTTCAAAAAAGTTGCAAACTGTGAATTCTAGAAATTTACAAAGCAAATAGAAGCCACGAATGTGTTAACTATCGGAATGCGGACTCATTGTCCACATGAAAATGAACATATGAAATGTAGCCTCATTTGATTTTATGTAATTTTTTTCCTCATGCTTACATTTTTCAATACTGTATTCTTTTTCTCAAATTTTTTTAAATCTTTAAATTTTGTATGTTCTATTTTGCTTTTTGATATTCTGCAAGTAAAAAAAATCTATTAAGCAGTGTGAAAAATGTCCTTCAGTTTATTAAACTTATTTGCTAAAGTGAGGTGTTGTTTATGTATATAAGTTTATTAAAATTAGTGAAAGAAAATATGTAACTAAAACACCTTTTGAAAAATAATTCTAATATAAATGAAACTGTGTTTAATTCAAATATGTATTAGTCATTTATAAAAAATTTGCAGATATAACAAAAATTTAACTTATATCAATTCTGCATTATCAAAATTTAAGTATCAGTTTCATGACTAAAATAATACTTAATTAAAATTACATAATTTTAATTCCAAACAATCATATAATTTATATGAAAATATCTATAACTTAAAAATCTAAATGAAAAATAAAGTATTTTTTCAGTTAAGTTTTTCAGTTCAAAATGACGCATCAAATTCCAAAATATTTATTTTTTTATAAAATGTTTTTGCTTTCTAATAACTGATAAAATATGCAGACTATTTATTTTTCTTTTAGAATTGCAAATTCATTCTAAATTTTTGGCAATGAATCAATTCATCTAAAGCCATGTATCTATACAAAGAAAACAATTCAATTCATTAATTTGAATTTTTTGGGCAGGCTATTATTTATATTTTCCTATTAGTTACAAACAAAAGGTAATTTGTTTTTAAAATGCCGTACAAATATATTGATAAAATGCCACAATATATTTGTAAAAACAAGAAAATATCTTGATAAAATTAAAAATACAAATGCAAAATAGACTAACAATACAAAGGTAGAATAAGAGTAAAACTAAGATACATAAATATTTATGTATGTAGTAGTATATCTAAGCAGTATTTATTATTGGAATTTCATGTTTTTATAAATGCAAAGTTATATATTCAGAACTAAACTATAAATAGATATTATTTATATAAATTCATTGTTTCTTTTTTAAACAAAAACAGCATAAAATATGTTTAATCAAATTCAATGTTGACTAGAAAGTATTTTATTGTTCTTTTTAACATACTGTAAATGTCAAGGAACATTCAGATCTGATGAAATAATCTACACATATTTAAATTAGAATTAACAAATAGTCCTTAAAAACACAATAGTTAATTAACAAATAGTCCTTAACTCAATAAATTATTAATTACACTGAAATTGCTTTCATGTTGATTTTATACAGAGTATTATTNTTTATTAAATATATTCTTAATTATATTCAATAATAACTTTGCAATATATTTAAGTTACACTTTGTATTTTAAAAGTATACTTATTCTTATGAATTGAATATTTTAAATTTAAACATTCTGTTGTGGAATTTCAAAATGTATTTTTTGAATACTAATGCTAAACCCAAATCAGATTTATAAATAAACTTGTTCATTTATCATAAATGAACCCTTGCTGGAGAATGATGCCAAATCAACAACATAAGACAAGGTCGTAGGAAAGTTTTAATGATCCTAAATTTTAAACTTAAATTTAACTTAAAATTTAAACTACTCATAGTGAATTCATTAACTTCTCAAGATAATTAAAATAATAGATGGAAATTTTTTAAAAACACAAATTAGGCATGGAGTCCTTATAATTTGAACTGACCTATCCAACTACATATAAAAAAATAATGCATTCCAAATATATAAAAAAAGTTTCTTATTCAAAAGGATGAAGACTTATTTAGTAAAACAAAATACTTGGCTTTATGTATGTTGCTCAAGAGAGTCAGTAGCTAAAGCAATAGATGAATTAATCTGCTTTTGTGTGAAAATTTAGGGTCATATCAGGGTAATAAATCCCAAGAATTTTTCATCGGTTTATCATGGATATGTTGGACCCCATCCTTCACTACCTGGCTACCCTGACTACAAGGCCTGCTAAAACCATAATGAGCCTGAAAAAATCCTATTATTATATTATCTGTAGGGAACAATATATGACATGGAAGATATGTCACTCTGAAGAAATTAATTTCAATTTCCAGGTGACAACACTCATTCTACTATTGTTTTATGTATTGGCAAAATGGTTTGTCAAGTAAAAACTTTTGAATCACAAATATACATCACAGTAAAAACTATTAAAGAAAATCTCAAAAATATTTTAATATTGAGTTTAACATTTTTCTTAAATATATCTTTATGCTATATTTTTATATCTAAAATCTAGTGTTGAAATATTAATAATAAATGTGGTTCTTCATTTCAACTTTTACTATAAATTATGGTACCTTATATGAGGCGTGTCCGGAAAGTAAGTACCATTTTGGAAAAACTCACATAAAAAATCTTTTTTCAAAACAAAATTTATTTTTACATGAAATAGCATGTTTGAAACTATTTTTCTACATAGTTACCACCATTGTTCAGACATTTGTCATATCGGGAAACCAATATATATCCTATACCTTCAAAGAAGGTATAGGATATATTGTCTATACCTTCTTCAAAGAAAGATGCTGCCAGTGAAGACAGCCACTGCTGAACATTGATTTGCAACAATCTCATGCAAAACAGTTTTTGAAATTTGTGGAAACTCATCACAAAGCAATCTTATTGTACCGTCTGTTTTCAAGAATTTTCTCATTCACTAAATACAGAACCTGTTACCGGTGTAATTTTGCGTGAAAAAATCTTCCTTTCACAAACGTTTTCGAGCTTTCCAGATAGCTCTTCTTCAGGGAGAGAAAAAATTCCGATGGAACACTTCAAAAAATGGAACATAGATATTTAAATATGCGAAAGAATGACATTGGATATAGTCCGTTCCTTTTGCATTCCGTTAGGAATTGTAGTTTAGCTCTAGCCCTAATGAGAGTTAAAAGCTTTTTACAATAAATTGCACCGGTAACAGATTCCGTATTTAGTATTTCATCCCCGGTGTCAGAGTGAAGTTTAATTTATTTCTCATTCACTTTTGCAACCAAACCATCATTGACAACAGAAGGCCAGCCACTCCGTGCTTCGTCATGAACATTGGTGCATCCAGCATTGAATTGTCAAACCCACTTTCTCACCTTCCATCACTCATTACATTTTCACCATAAATCTCTACAAGTTGACAATGAATTTCAACTGGCTTAACATTCAAAAACTGTATTACAGAACGCACTTCACAGTCGGCGGAATCGGCAATCGTCTTAAACATTTTGAACGCTCACTAACACATGGAAAAACAACACAATCTGGCTCTAATGGCGTCACTGGACTGACAATCAACCAGAGACACGTGTATGCAGGTGCTAAACTGTGATACTACCGCTGCAGTGGCGGTAAAACGAAACGGTACTTACTTTACTTTCCAGACATGCCTCATATTTTCAATTATTTTTAAATTAATCATTTAAAGTCAAAATCTAATTGCAATACTTACCAATATTATTATTAATGTAAGAATATCTTGATCTTACATCTACTGAATATATACCCCAACTATAAAAATAAAAAGAAATTAGTTTGACTCTTGACTAATGAAATAATCACATGAGAAATTTCATATTTCATACCTATGATCTATAGAAAATGGTTGTTTTAATAATAATTCTTCTTTTCTTTTTAGAAATACTTCACCTTGAAATATATTTGAAATGTGGGTATTTTTTATTGAAAACTGGAAATAGAATAATAAACCATTTAAAATGAATAAATCATTATTTGAAAGCTAGTTTAAATTTTTATCTATTCCATTTTTTTAATCAAAGAAAATAATGATTCAAATTAACAACAGTAAGAAACCACTTATATCAATGTTACTACAATAAAATTATAATTGTAAAAATTGCAAGTTATTTTGATTTAGTTTTATTTATTAAACTTGCAAAATACCATTAACATTTTGGTTAAAAACTGCTTCAGGAATTTCAGATTGAATTGATTTGTACATCTCAAGTAAAATAAACATTACATAGTCACATAAAAATATAGGAAACATATTGAGTTACAATATTTTCCTTTATGTATATTTTTTAATCAAGTAAATATTGTAAACAATTCTTTTAAAACATCCAAATATAAATAAAAATATAAATAGCATTTCTTTAAAATGTTTAAAATCATAACTGTTTATGATCATTTGTATTGACACTTAAAAAAAATAAATTTATTTGTGTGTTACAATTTCTTTTTATACATAACCATAATTTCTTCAATAAACAAAAGTAAATGATGAATTTCATTTCAAACAAAAGAGAAACTCCTTTCTGCTTTTATGGTGACAATATTCATAATATAATAAACTTTCCTGTAACAGAAATTTTACCTAAATATTATTTGTGGAATTATAAAATTTGAACCAATGATTAACATTTTTCTCAAATTCTACAATTATACCAAGAAATCTACTTAAATCAAAACAAAATTGTCCTATCTTAAAATATTTTAAATTAAAATAAAAAACAAATGATGGGCAGTTTTTATATGAAAATTTTTTGAGAAAAATTTTTATGACAACAACTAGATAATATTTATTTTTATAACTTGAAATCAGAAATATTTTAAATTAAATTTGAAGTATTCTAGTGCATTATTTTTTAGTAAATTTATAAAAATCCAAAAAATATTACTATAACTGTAAACAAAATTTATACTTACACTTTCATAATAAGTTTCTAATTGTTCATTATTTAGTATAAATTCAGGATGACCAATCTCAACATTTAATAAATTTATCTAAACAAAACAAAATGTAAAAATTTAGTCTTCAAAATATTTGTTAAATTCACCTTACTTTTAAAATTACATACTTTTTCTTGAGCAATCTTCTTTTCTTCACTGTTTAACCAGGGAAATGAATTTACTTCTTTCATGATAGAGGAACGAATATTTTCTACCATTTGTTGAACCTTTGTATGAGGAAATTTTATATTTTATACACAAATTGTTATTAAATAGAAGTTTGGTATGAACAAAACTTTACTTACATCTGATTTTATTTCTGAAGAAAAACGTTTTTTTACATAGAGAGCACTTACAGCGTGACCTAAATAATGAATGGTCTGATCAATACAGAACTCCCACCTGTCTTCAGATGGAGAATTAATATCAACAGCACCTATTTTTAAAACAAAATTGTAAATTAATAATTTCTTGTATTGTTTTTGACTTTTATGTAATGGCATGTAAAAAAAAAACATTATACAAATGTTCCCAAGAATTTTAGTAATAAAAATGATTTTGTTATTAATTTGAAACATTAACCTTGAAAAAAATAAATTCAAAATTTTTAACAACATTTTATGTAACATTAGAAATCTTTAAATAACTAATGATAATATTGTAAAAGTGAAAATATTAAAATACAAATACTCTGTGAGTCACAATTTAAACTAAATTAGTTAAAAATATCAAAACTTGTTTTTCTGAAGAACTAATACTTAGTGAATGAAATCAAAACATAAGTCCTTAACATTTCTGAGCCTCCTGACTCATCATCACACAAACATCAAATTCAAAACATTGCAAGCATTTAAATTTAAATCCATTCCAAAATTCAAATTGTTGTAACCTTCCTTGTCACAACAGACCATGAGAGGGCATCAAGGAGGAAAATAAAAACTTGTCTTTTTTTTTCATAAAATTTCCAGGACTATAATTGTAAAATTAATATACAGTTTAAGACTATACAATAATGAGTCTTTCAATGTCCTTTCTCACACCTCAGTAAAACAGAATACAATTTTATCAAATGTATATTATATTTTTTTATTTGTGCTATTAATGGAAGGAAGTCCTGTAACATTTTGCATAGTGAGGCAAATGAGCAGTGTCTAATAAAAGATCAATTCCACTGTAAGACTATTATTTTCCTTAGGTGTGAGAAAGGATATACTATAGCTCTAATAGGATCTAATTTTACTAGAATACTTAAAATATTCACTTCAGACACTTTGCTACCACTTGTAGCTTTTACATGCATTACTCTAATAAATCTTGTGATAAATAATCTAAAGGCATCTTCAAAAGCTTTAAATAACAAAATATAAGGGATGTGTTTATAGTTACACATCCCTTATATTTTGCACACTATAAAGCATTGCATCATATATGGTAGGGGGACGCACAACTGAACACAGCATAATTAATAATCATAATAAAATTCATAAGATCCAAATTTTTAAACAAAAATGCACAATAAAAATTATGCATCTTTCTACAGTTACATTATCTTTGTAATATCAATATTTATCATTTTTAAATTTTGATTATAGAATGTTAGTTATGTAAATAATAACTGAAATTACATTGACAGAAATCAAGTTAGATCTTTTCTGCATAAAATACTTTTTTAGCTCAAACATAATTTTCTCTTTAAGTGTTATATGAACAGAATGTAGTATTCATAGATAAACTTGATTCTTGCTAATCTGGCATGGCCAGATTAATCAGCATATAGCCTTAAAGCTTGTCTAAAGCTTGTCATCATTCATTAATTAATGATGTAATCTGTCACACCTTTTAGTACTGATTCTTTTTGAAAGCAAAAAGACAAATAATTTGGTGCACTGACATGCAATACTGTACACAGAAATGAAACTTGAGCAATTAGGAAAATAAGATATGTGACAGACTTAACATTTTCATGGAAATGGAACTACGTTAGTGATCACAATAGAGATATGCTGGTAACTGAGAAGTCAGACTGTTAATGGCTGGATTAGCAAGAATATATTATATTTGATATCAGAACTGTTTATATTGTATCAGTCAGCATATTATAAACATTGAGTTTACTAAAATTATACTTTTATTACAGAGAGAACTGAAGTGTGATAAACAAAATATTTTACTATACAACTGATATGAAAAACTTAAGCTTAGCAGTTAAAAGTGATTTCTGGCCAATAGGATATCCATTATATTTCAATCCATTCTGAGATTATTCAAATCTCAATTCAAACAAAAAACAATATTTTTGCATGTAATGCATCAGTGGTAAATGAATGTCATAACAGTAACAACAGTGACAGAAATGAAAACCATAATATGATATTATATATATAGAAAAGAANATATAATAAAAAAATGCTTTAACAATTTTTTAATTTTTAAGTGAATAGTTTTATTTACCTTAATCTATTTGGTAATGAATATTGATTATTCCACGTCACTATTCTTCCTGGCTGTGATATCTGACATAGAGACTATTAAAAAAAGATGCATTTAATACATTGTTTTTAATTTTTTTTAAATGCAATTACAACAAAAGAAATGTTACCTGTGCATAGGATATAAAGAAAAGTTGATCATGATTCTTGTTTATACCAGGAAGTAATCCACTCTTATCATTACTATTTTGGTATGCCTTTATTTAAAAAAAATAATGAAAAACAAACATATTATTCATTTGTAATAATCTTATAGCTAAAACCTAAAATAACAGAATTTGTACATACCGAGAAGGCAAATTTAATTCCTCCAATGTCATCCATCAAATCAAGAACAGTCAAATTGGAATGTAGCTATAAAAATTTTCAAATAGTTTTAGTAAAAAACTTTCAAATAATTTTATTTTTGATATCTTTTATAATTAATTACTGTTTATTTATAATAATTTGATAAAATACATATTAATTCAGAAAAATCTGTATTTTAATTATCAGCCCATCTCAATTATATATGTAGTAACATATTGAAAAATTTATAAATAAGGAACAAAAGAAATTGTCTAATTTTCCTTTACTTAACATTTTAATAACAACAAAATCAACCTTTGAAATCAAAAAAAGTAATTTTATTTTTTGTAACAATCAAAAATTTGTTTACTTATTTACTGATGTTAAAGTACAGAACAGAAAACTAGACAAATTTTTTTCATTCTTTTCTGTAAAATTATATTCAAATTAGCAACATCATCCTTCAAATTTGTAAAAAACAGTCAGATTGTTAAGTTTAAAAATAAAATTAGAGCATTACAACATAATACACTTTCATCATGTATGACTTCAAATATAAAAAAACTGACTTATATCAATTGCATTCAAGGTATCTTCCAACATTAACAATATTTGACTAGTCAAAGAATCACACATCTTATATGTTTAACATAAAATTTTGATATCTTTAGTTTTGTAGTAATAATAAAACGTTGAAATCTGTTTAAAACAACTTTGAGAACATTTTAGTGCATACATATTTTCAGTTTTTTGCTAAGGCTTTTTTCTAAACATTTTCCATTCTGTGGATGCTAAGAGAACATTTTTTCATATCTAAAAATAAGGTTGTTTTATATTGAAGATGGGTACAAAGATATATCTCCTAGCAGTTAATATGGAGTATGAAAGAAATGATGATTAATTTTTCATGCCAGATCAGATAAGTTTATATGAAGAAACTTTTTATCTGAAGATGGCTATTATCAAACAATAAATTTTAACTAATTTTATTATGTGAAATATTTAATTCTTATTAAATTCAAACTGTTGGTAAATTTTGGCTTTAATGAAAAATTCTGTATAACCACAATAGCTAATCACACAGAGAATAGTTGCTGAATAGTTCATAAAAATTTACTTTGTTTTAAGTTTACAATAATTAAATTTATTACCATAATCTGACAAATTTTAGACTTAAAACAATAATAGATAAAATTATTTGCTTCTGTTCTCTATATAACAATACATCTGATCTAATAATCCAATGGATATTCTTTTTCAAACAAATGAGGAATTTCAAATTATTTACTACTAAAATATTGCTCATCACTTACTATATCAGAGATCAACAATATTTTATTATTCTAATTTCTGCATATAGCTTAATTTGTACAGAATAAAGTAAAATTAACTGTACTAAACCCAACTTTAATTAATACAAAAATGGCATAATAGTGTATAATAAACCATTTCATACAACAAACTAATTGAATTATGAAACAAATTCATATTTTGTTCATTTTATTAAATATAGTTTATGGAAAAATATTTATATATTACATAAACAAAATGATTTTAATAACATCAATATAACAACCCAGTTAACTGCCAAATATTAATAATCAAGCTAAAATCTGTATTTAAAATTGACAATTAATGATATAAATTTGGACCACAGATAACCATACCACCACTTTTTGGTAACATGATGTAATTCAATTTATTGATTATTAAAGTTCACAAATAGTACTCAGCCTTGCTTTAAGAAGGAATTGTTTCAAGGATATATTTTTAAATTTTGATGTTTAAATATTAAAATAAATCTAAACAAAAAGCAGGATTTCCTGAAGNATATATAATTTGTTTTAATCATAAAATTATGCTTCATAAATTATAAATTTAACAATAAAGATATGGTAGAATAAATAATTATTTTATAAGTAATACAAGTTTAAAAAGCACATTTTTAAAAAGACTGAATTTTTTTATAACTGACAAAGTCTTCCTATACATCATGATGATGCATTTATTTGTCTGCCAATCTTTACTGTAAATATCAAAGTACAAAGCCTTTATGCTTTAATAAATAGAAAATGTACAAAATTTAGACAACACTTAAAGTAAAATTTGTTCTTCTTTAGTAGTAATCAAACTAACTACTCATTTTAAATACTCATAATAAAAAAAGCACTTAAAATTTTTTATAAAAAAATGTTTTAGTAGAAAGAAAAAATTTCTCAATGTGGATGTTTTGCAATTTTTTGTAAAACTAGAAATATCAAAAGATACAAAACAGTATAGTCATTTTGTAATATAAAAATTATTTTTAAAAATCTAATAATTATTTTATCAAAATTTTTAAAAATAAATTTAAAATATGGATAGTAATTACTAAATTATCACAACAATAGCTCTAATGTCAAATTACCGATATATAAAAATATTCTTTCAAATAATTTAATTTTTTTGTAATTTAGAAATTAATCATGATTAAAGGTGCTAATTAAAATTATATTATTATATTATTATACGAATGCTTTATTGTAGTAAGAAAAAATCTTGTTACAGGGGGTTAGCATTAGAGATTTACAAAAGATAATTAATACTTATTTAAACATTTTTTAAATATTTGGTTACATAATTTTTGATAAACATAACATATTAATCATTCAATTTACAACATCATATTTCAAAATTTTTAAAATATGAACAAAAAAGTTATGAATATTATACATTTTACATAACGGAATTTTTTCTAGATTAGTTCTGAAATTTTCTTCTTGACTTAAATCAAAAATTTCTTTTAATTTAAATTTACATTGCGCTTCTTCAATCTTTGGACACTCAATAAGAATATGGTAAATATTAAAAGATTCAGACTTGCACCAGTAGCATTTCTTGGAAAAATCAATATATACATTGCCAATCAGTAACGAATTGTAATTAAGACGTATCTGAATCAGCGTGCGCTTAATATTTAAATTAGTATTTGTTGTAATAATATTCGAACTTGATGGAAAATGTAACATATTTTGATACCAATAGTGATATGTCGAATTTAAAATGGAATCTTGATCCTTGATAACAGATTGAGATAAAGCAGAATTCATCATTAAGGAGTATGCGTGTTTACAGTTGTCTTCGGTTGAATTGAGTAATAAAGTAGAAATTCCATAAGATTGTATTATTTTAACGAATTTTTGATACCACGAAACATTTTTAGTTGATAGGCTTCCATTTTGGTTGCTTATTAATTGAAATAGAAATTTAATATTATCGTCATCAGTATTTAATATGCGAAGATAAAATTTGAATAAACGTTTCAAAAAAAATGGAAAAAGTTGGAATCTATTAGTCTCTGATCTAATTGCATAACCTGGAACCGTGCGTTCAATATGAAGTACTTTACGCAGAAAAATGATATGGAATTTTTCCAAATATTTATAATAGTCTAATGCCCAAACAGGACTGGCATAAAAAAATACTGGAGCAATAAATGAATGAAACATTTTCAAATGAATTTTTAGGTTGGAAATCCTTAGCTTAGATGATAAATAAATAACATTATTTATAAGTTGATTAATTTTACTAGTAAGATAATTTAAATGGTATTGAAATTGGCCGTTCCAGTTAAAGTATATTCCCAAATATTTTATTTGATTTACTACTTCAATCGGTTTATTATTTAGA